TTTCTGAACCCAAGGGCACCACTGTTGTAAACCACAGTAATATGCAGGAGAGAGACGGCTGTCAGACACCAAATATTTGACTCTCAAGTGGTTTTATTCATTGTTGAGAAATATGTTAGATTTGGTTTCATTTACCAAATGAGAATTCCTCATTTTCACTTTGTAATTTTTCTTAGTATATACAGTCAGCTTGCTGCTGTATTTGTGGGTTCCACATCAACCAACTACAGATCAAAAATATTTAAGAAAAAATTGCATCTGTACCAAACATGTATACTTTTTTTGCTTATTATTCTCTACAGAATACAGTATAACAACTATTCCCACAGCAATTACATTGTATTGGGTCATATAAGTAATCTAGTGATGATTTAAAGTATACAGGAGGATATGGGTAGGTTATATGCAAATACTGTACCTTTTTTTAAATCAGGGACTTGACCGTCTGAGGATTTTGGTATCCAACTCCCCACAGATACTGGGATGACTTTATGACATTGTTTTTCCATCAGTGAATGTTTATACCTTTTGGTTTCCTTGCTACAACTGTGAAGATAAAGTTCAAATCACATTTACCAAATATTTCAAGCTGAAAATAATAGTTCTACTGCCAGTGTCTCCAGAATGTGGAGCCCATTAATATTTTAATTTTAGGCCAGGCGCGGTGGCTCAAGCCTGTAATCCCAGCACTTTGGGAGGCCGAGACGGGCGGATCACGAGGTCAAGAGATCGAGACCATCCTGGTTAACACGGTGAAACCCCGTCTCTACTAAAAAATACAAAAAACTAGCCGGGCGAGGTGGCGGGCGCCTGTAGTCCCAGCTACTCGGGAGGCTGAGGCCGGAGAATGGCGTGAACCCGGGAGGCGGAGCTTGCAGTGAGCTGAGATCCGGCCCCTGCACTCCAGCCTGGGCAACAGAGCTACACTCCGCCTCAAAAAAAAAAAAAAAAAAAAAAAAAATTTAATTTTAGCTTTACTGAGGTATACTTGACACCCGATAAACTGCACATATCTAAAGTATACAGTATGTTGGCATATGTATACTCTGCGTAAAACTATCACCGTGATCAAGGTGAGAATCGGACCCATCATCCCCAAGTGCCCTTTTGCTCTAATATTAGTTTGCCTGTCCTAGACTTCTGTGCAAATTGAATCATACAATATGTATCCGTTTTTGGTCAGCCTTATTTTACTCAGTATAATTATTTTGAGATTCATTCACGTGGTAGCATGTGTCAAGTTTTCGTTTTCGTGTTTTTCATTGCTGAGTACTACTTCATTGAATACATTCATTGACATACTGATGGACACTTGGGTTGTTTCCAGTTTGGGGCTGTTATAAATAAAGCTGTTATGATCATTTGTATACAAAAAAAAAAAGGAGAAATTGGAGATGGACCTTGGAATATTAGTAAGATTAAGTGACCAGTGGGAATCTGGGGGGAATAGCAGTCAACTAGACAAGAGGGTTAATGAATATAGGTAGGGTTGTTCTTGCTACTCTCTGGAAGAGATTAACAACTTGGGAGCTCTCAAGTGGTCGTTTCATGGAACTGAAGGTAAAAAGCCAGAAAGCACAGGGAGAGAATAAATAGAAATGCAGAGGAGACAGAGGGAGACTTTCTGGGTTCCTTTCAACACTCCAGTTCCTGGTTCCCATCTCATCCCGAGCCTCAGCAGCATTCCTGATCTACCCTGGTATCTTCAAATAAATTCCAATTTTTTGTCGATGAACAGGAGAAGCCAAGCAGTTACTGAAGCCAGGAATCCTAGCCAGGAACACAGGAATGAGCACAGAACGTTGAGTATTATCAGATCTAAGCCTTGGGGCCAATACTTGAAATGACCTTTGTTGTCTTTAGCTAGTTTTTTTTGGTTAGCCTTGGTTTGGAACCCAGGTTGGCCAGAAGAGTTTAAAGGGCTAAGCGGGGGCTCCTAAGGTCTCGTTCCTGTTACTTAGGCTACGTGGCTCTGGATCCCATTGAGACAAATTTCCATGGATAGAAACAAAAGCCTCCTTGCTTCCAGAGCACTATTTGAACTTTGACTACAGGTTGTTGGTAGTGATACCTATAACATCTCCTATTTAATTCACCAGTTTAGGCTGTGCAGAAGACAGATGAATCTTGAAGAATGACTGTGGAATGTCATAAATGTAATCAGATGGGGACTCCAATTTCAGCTGCTCTCCCGGAAGTAGTACCTTTATTGGCGCAGATTAACACATTGCTATGCAGCTGGGGAAGATCTGACATTTGGTATGCACTTATTTACCTTGCTAATGCCTTTTCCTCCATACTAATTTGCAAGGTCAATCAGAAGTGATTTGCTGTGCCGGGCGCGGTGGCTCAAGCCTGTAATCCCAGCACTTTGGGAGGCCGAGACGGGCGGATCACGAGGTCAGGAGATCGAGACCATCCTGGCTAACCCGGTGAAACCCCGTCTCTACCAAAAAATACAAAAAACTAGCCGGGCGATGTGGCGGGTGCCTGTAGTCCCAGCTACTCGGGAGGCTGAGGCAGGAGAATGGTGTAAACCCGGAGGTGGAACTTGCAGTGAGCTGAGATCCGGCCACTGCACTCCAGCCTGGGCGACAGAGTGAGACTCCGTCTCAAAAAGAAAAAAAAAAAAAAAGAGAAAGAAGTAATTTGCTGTTACCCAACAGGGCCAATAGTATGTCTTCCCAGTGTTGCTACAGGCTCCATTAGTTCTCCCGTTCACTGCCATAATAGTCTGAAGTGATCTTGATTGTTCTGACATTCCACAAAACATCACACGGGCCCACGCTGTTGATGACATTATGTGATCATCATTGGATCCCATGAGTACGAAGTAGCAAGTACTTTAGATGCCTTAGTAAGATGTATGCTAGAGGGTGAAAGATAGACCTACAAAAATTAAGGTGGTGGGAGAGGCCCGCCTTCTCAATGGTGAGCGATGGCTACTGCTGAAAGGTCCACTGAATAAAACCACATTTTAAATCAGGTAGTTTACCTTCTAAAGGTAGAAAAGTCATTCATTTGGAACCAAACCACTTACTTCAGAATAGCTGTTCGGGCAAGTGAAGCATTTGCCTCAGTATTTGCTCTTAGTATTATTTTTCACATGATTTCTAATGACAGATTGTGACTTGGAGGTGATTCATTTTTGTTTCCTAGTTGTCTTGACAGCAACCTAATTCATGATATTCTGTGTACTTGAGAATCCAAAAATTTTGCAATCCAACAATATGATGTTTACTAAAATTTTCCTAAGAAATACACTGCTAGGCCAGGCACAGTGGCTCATGCTTATAATCTCAGCACTTTGGGAAGCCGAGGCCAGTGGATTACTTGAGCTCAGGGGTTCAAGACCAGCGTGGGCAACATGATGAAACCCCGTCCGCCCAAAATATAAAATTTAGCCGGGCATGGTGCCTTGCACCTGTGGTCTCAGATACTCAGGAGGCTGAGGGTGGAGGATCACTGGAGCCGTAGAAGTCAAGGCTGCAGGGAGCTGTGATGGTGCCACTGTACTCCAGCCTGGGTGACAGAGTGACTCTGAAGAAAAAAAAGGGCACTGATAAAAATTCTTTAAGACTGGATGGACTGAAAAGGGAGAATTATTTTTATTAAAAAAATTTTTTTTGGTTACAAATAATAGTGACTTACGGACCATAACTAAATATAATTTCAAGGAGGGGCAACTCTCTTAAAGTCACTTCACTCAGAATTTACTTTTACTGGCCGGGCGCGGTGGCTCAAGCCTGTAATCCCAGCACTTTGGGAGGCCGAGACGGGCGGATCACGAGGTCAGGAGATCAAGACCATCCTGGCTAACACGTGAAACCCCGTCTCTACTAAAAAAATACAAAAATTAGCCGGGAGCGGTGGCGGGCGCCTGTAGTCCCAACTACTCAGGAGGCTGAGGCAGGAGAATGGCGTGAACCCGGGAGGTGGAGCTTGCAGTGAGCTGAGATCCGGCCACTGCACTCCAGCCTGGGGGACAGAGCGAGACTCCGTCTCAAAAAAAAAAAAAAAAAAAAATTTACTTTTACTGCTATGGTGATTTCTTTTTAGATTTCTTTCTGTATTTATTTATGCTTTTATTTTTATGTATGGTGTATTTATGACTTTTTCCTCTCTGAATTATTTTAATGAAACTGAAAATAAAGTTAATGAAACTGAAATTCTATGCCTTGCTTTTTTCCATGTGCTACATATATCCTCCTAAAATTACTCATGAAAAATTTAAAAGGATTTTATTATGAAACATTTCAAACATACAGAAAATTAGAAAAAAAAATTATGCCAGTACCCTAGACACACTATTTACATTCAAGAAGTATTAATATTTTGAAAAAATTAGTTATCTTGCATGCGGGGGGGTGGGGTGCATTTTAAAGTACATCAAAGACCAGACGCTTACTTGAGTTTCAGGAAGTCCAAAGCTTACAGCACGTTCTGGATAGCACTGGAGAGAAACCAGCACTGGAGAGAAACCAACACGGGAGAGAAACCAGCCGGCAGTTTTCTGGCACTCCCTTAGTTTGAAAAAATTTACATCACAAGCAAGCAAGCCTTCCTTTCACCTTTTAGGTGCAAACTGACAAAAATAACCAGTAGGGCTACTATACTTCAGTGCCTTGCCCCCAGTAGATACTCAAAACACGCAGTTGAACTGAATTTCAGTTATTTTAAAGCCGTACTTGACAAACGTATGTGACAAACGTCCCTTCCTAATTTTCCTGAGAAGAGCAGTACTATGTCTTAAAGGCTAAAAACCCAGAGGAGCCAGGAGTGGAGGGTGCAATAAAATGCCTGCATTGGGGCAGATTGCCTCTTTTTGAATCCCTGACTCCTCACTGTGCTTTGGGGAAAACTACGGAAATTTTCACTGCCCAGCTTATTAAAATAGACTGCTTAGCTGAAATATAGAGGCGTCCATGACAACTACCTGGAGGGCTTTGTTAATCAGATTGCAGGACCCCACCCGCAGCTGCTGGTTCTGTAGGTCTATGTGGGGCCGAAAACGTGCATTTCTAACAAATTCTAGGGTGACAGTGACGCGGTAGGTCCCGAGACATCAGGAAACCCAAGGGACTGGAAGCAGGCCCTCAATAAATGTTTACTATGAACATCAGCACCATCAAAGCTGCCCACCAGCAGGGGCCGCGGGGTATGCGCCGCAGGGAAGAGCACGGTCTCTGTCCAACGTCCCTGCTGGTACATCACTCCTCTGCAGGGACTAGGTTAGAACCGGGAGGCAGCCGGAGCAGCGCTCTCGCTGGATAACGGAAGAGGACTCCCTCGCCAACTTCCGCCTCTGGGGAAAAGCTGGGGCCCTGCGCCAGCGGAGTTCTGCTGTCTCAATTTCGCCGCAGTTTGCTTCTGGCCCGGGCGAGAACCTGTCCTCTGGGCAAGCCAGGAGTCGGTGCAGGACTCCCGTACCCCAAGGCGAGGCGGAGGCAGGTGCCGAACGGAGGCCAGACCCCGGCACCCGGAGCCCGACTGGAGGGCGTGGCGGGGGAGGACGGCGTTCGCTCCAGTCCCTGCAGCTCCCGGGTCGGTTCCCAGCGCCCGCGGCCCGATGGCCCGGCGGAAGATGGCTGCCCGGAGCGCCGCGGACAGTCACGTGTCACGCCGGGCCCGTCGCGCGCTCCCTCCCCCGCTCGCCAAGTCCCCGACCCCGCGGGAGGGACGGCCTCGGGCTACCTCTAGGCCACCGAGGTGCGGCGCGGGCCGGCCAGGCCGGGCGGGCGTCGGGGCGGGAAGGCCAGCTCTCCCCGCTGTCCATCCTAACTTGGCCGCTGGGGCTCCGCTCGGGGAGCAGAGGAAAACCTTCGGGCGAGCCGCACCAGGTGGGGCTACTGGGCATGCGCGGGCTCCGGCCCCGGCCTCGCCGCTCTCCGGGTTTTCGCAGCAGCTCGGAGGGGCGGCGGGAGGTGGGGCCCAAGCGGGGCGGGGCGGCTCTGACGCACCCGGAGTTTTCACCTCGGGCGGTTAGAGCTCTTGCGCCTCCCTTACGCTCCCAGGCGTCGCCCGAGGCTTTATTTTTTGTTGTGGGAGAAAGATGAGTCTATGGTTAGAGGTTTGAAAATGGGCCTAATAGTCAGGTCGGCCGTTTCCTATGAATGATCCATCAGGTGTTAATCCCAAGTGTCGCAGCCCTTGGGCTAGGTGGGAAAGAGAATCCAGGAGTAGTTCGCAGACTCGTGCCTGGCTTCCAGCAAGCTGAGTTTGCGTTCCCTGATTTGTGACTAGCTCTAGCGGCTGCCGTCTCCGGCCCTGCCCCAAGGGATTTACCGTCCCTGATTGTAAAACCTGACTACCTCTCGGCCTTACTTAGTGGGCCCCTAAAAACGCTAGGGAAAGCGCCCGCCTTCTCCGTTTCCCATTACTTGAAAGTAAAATTCAAGGGGTCCAAACCGCAACTGTCCCTTGGTTCGGGGGTCCCGCTCGGTCCCGGGAGGAGTCCCCTGCGGACCCCGCCCGGCCGTCCCGCCCCCCCGGCCGCCGCGAACACCCGGAGGAGCGGAGTCGCGTGGCGCGGGAAGCCGGGCCGGCTCGGGCCGCGGACTGGGCATGCTCGGCAGCCCGGGAGGCTCGCGGTGTTAAGTCGGAAGCGTTCGCACCAGCGGGGCAGCGGCGGCGGGCGGCGGGCGGCGGGCGGCGGGCAGGTCGGGAGTGAGAAGGACCGGCTAGGGCAGACTGCTCTCCCCTCGCGCCTAGGGAGCCGGTCGGAGAGCGCGATTGGGGTGCGGAGCCCCGACGCTGCCCTGCCCCGGATTTCATTCCGCGGCGGGGGGCTCCGCGAGCGGAATTCCGGCTGCTGCCGCGACTCCAGTGCAAGTGAGTCGTGGGGACGGGACAGAGAGCCGGCCTCGCGATCGCGGGGGCCGGTCGGACACCTGTCTCGCGGGTCCGGCCTTATGCCGGGGAGCGGCGGGCAGGCTGCCCTGGGGCGAGGGGGCGTGAGCGCAGCCCGCGCTGTGCCGCGCGCGTACCTGGCGGGCACTCCCCCAGAGCTGCTGCTCCCTGGGGGTGGGCACAGCAGGGAGGTCCGGCGGCCGGGATCCGGGCTCGGAGGGGGCGGGCCGCCGGCGGGGCTCCCCGGCTAAGTTGGGGCGGGGAGGAAGGAGGAGGCGTCAGTGGGCATCTTTTAAGAGCTACTGCGTGCGGGCTGGAAGGCTGCCTAGTGTCGGATTGGGGCGCTCGGGAGGCGAGGAGCCTTTGGGCAGTGGCCCACCGGGGGTCCGGAGACCCCCCCCCCAGGGGCCGGCTCCAATCACGGCCCCACCCCCACAGCCTAGGTGGCGGTGTGACAGTTGGTACCTTCGGGCCAGATCGCAGCCGGCCAGGCGCCCACTGTTTCGGGATCCCCCCATAGTGGCCCCTCAATGCCCCCTGACGACGAAACAGGTGGGACTCCCCCTCCCCGAGGAGAGGGCTTCTCCCCAGGCCGCGTAACAGCCCCCCAGGCCCGCGGGCGGCTCTGAGACCCCGCAGGGCTGCCCCCGCTGGGCGGGGACGTTTAGGGGCAAGGCCTGGAGGGGCATCGGCGCAGCCCAGAACTGGACAGTCTCTCCAGGACACAGCTTTTCCGTGACAGAGGGGGTCTGCGCTACCCCCCAGCGACGTGTCAAGGGCAAAACAGCGGCAGCAGCGGCTGCCTCTCCCACCGTCTTAACCCGAACTCGGGCTTGTGGCATCCTCCCGTGGGCCGGGTAGAGTGCCATAGTCCAGCTAACGGATTCAGCCTGGAGCGTTCTGGTGAATGCTGCTTTCCTCTTTGGTGCCGCGAAGTAGAAATCGGGAGGAGGGTTGTCATGGCCGGAGGGAGCGAAGAGAATCCAGGCAGGTGCTTCTCAGATGTTTCTTTTCACCTTCAAACAGTACAGACTTCAGCGGTACACGCTTGCGAAACCAAGTGAAGGCTGCTTTCTGAAAGGGAAGTTTATTTTCTATGTTCTGGGGCCTGTCGACTATTTTAGCTCCCTTGACATTTACCTTCCTGGACCTTTAAAGCTGTTTGGACAGGTTATTTTGCTTTCAGGTTTGGAGATGTTTCTGGTTGGTTCCCTGGATGTGGAAGTGGCGAATGTCTGATGTGCTGTACTGTGAACTCCCCACGCTTCCTGGCACTGGGGGTTGAACATTCAGGGGGTACTGAGTGGGCCGAAGGAGAGGAGTGGGACTGGTGACGTAGGAACGCGATGGGAGTTGCCTAGAGCTGCCCAGATGGAACGGGGTTGGTGGCTGTTTTGGCCTGTGCAGAAGGGGAGAGGGCGGGGCGTTTCATTGGTCGGGGTGTGAAATGTCCACGGGCTAAGGCAGCGGGGGATGGGTGCCTGTCTGGTCAGTGCTCCAAGGGAAGCCCAGGGATGTTTGGTGATTCAGCAGGTGGCAGCTTTCCAGCTCTGAAGACATGCCGTGGCCAAGCAAAGAAGCAAGCAAGCAAGCAAGCAAGCAAGCAAGCAAGCAGCAGCCTGTGCCTGCTGTCGGAGGCGCCAGCTTTGGGGGAACCTCCAGGAGCTGCCTTCTGCCTGTGGCAGCTCACTTGCCTTATCTTGCTTCCTGTTTAGCTCTGGAGGCCCTGGTTTTTCGAGTTTCCTTACTGCGCCTCTTAAAATATACAGCAATATATAGCATGTTTTTGAATCTCTCCATCTCTGTGACCTGCTGGGTAGCAGGGGGCTGGCCACTGCCGCCATGCAGTTTAAGTAGTTATTCTGCAGAAAGTGATAGTGATATGTAAAGCAGTGAAGTGGCCTTTCCTTCCATTTCTGCTTCACAGAATAGAAATTTATGTTTTTAGTAAAATAATAAGATATATTTCTGCAATTCTTCGGTGATGATAGTGAGCTCTTTGAAATATCTGGAAACTTTTTAATAAAAGACATTAACTCCAGAGATGTATTACATTGACATCAGAGGGACACGGTTATTAAACCAGTATCTTACTCATTGGAGGATTTCTAGCATCTTGCACGATGTCTTAGCACTCAATACATGCCTCTGCGGCTGAAATTTAAAAAAATTCTTCATCACAGAAGAGTTTACCGGTATTCACCATGTTCATCAACTATTTTTAAGTCTGTATTAATATGGTTAGAATAAAATATATGCATCAATGCCTTTTCACATTGACATTTAAAGAATGTTTATGTTTTCATAAGACATGATTGCCTGTGTTGACCATAGACATTCAATTTTAGCTTGAAAACTTGATTCTTTTCCTTTTCTGGTTAAATTTATTAATTTTCAAACTTGTGGCAGATCCTGCATTTCAGCTGGAAAAATGGTGTGCTTTGTTAACGTATGTCATGAAAACCAAACGGATTCCTGACTCCTAAGTATAGCCATCAGTTTTGTTTGTTTTTCTTTTGAGACAGGGTTTTGTTCTCTCGCCCAGGATGGAGTGCAGTGGTACAATCTCGGCTCACTGCAGCCTTGAACTCTCCAGGCTCAGGTGATTCTCTTACCTCAGCCTCCCAAGTAACTGGGACTACAGGCACGCACCATCAAGCCCAGCTACTTTTTGTAGACATGGGTTTTGCCATGTTGCCCAGGCTGGTCCCAAACTCCTGGGCTCAAGTGATCCTACCGCCTTGGCCTCTCAAAGTGCTGGAATTACAGGTGTGCGCCACTGCACCTGGCAGAATTTTTTTTTTTTTTTTTTAAACTAAAAAGTGCTCCTGTTGCATGTCAAATGTGCTTTAACTTACAAAACTTCATTTTATACATAACATTTCAGGAAAACTCTGAAAAATACTGCTATAGAAAAGCTGAAAGAGTATTTTGGGAATAAAAGTTCTGGATTGTTTGCACACAGGGATCAATGCCCTTGTCTTTAGGAGGGAGGCATGAGTGTGCTGCCAGTTCATTCTGCCCTTTACCATCACTATCTGTTCCTTCCTCCAGTTGTTTAGGTATTTCTTCTTCCCCTAAAGATGTACTTTCTGGGCATGAGCTTGCTTTTTAGAGCAATCTTGTCAGAAGAATCTGTTGCATTTTCTCACACAAATTTTATCAGTGGTGATTTTTATTTTTTGATTGCCACATACACTTTCCAACCACTTCATATGGCAAACTATTCAGTGGCTCTTGGAAAGAGCTGTGGCCCTTGTGTCCTTGTGGGGGTATAACATGTTATAGATGGCTTTGCCTTTTTTGGATGGTAGCTATAACCATAACAGTCTCTTCTGGAAGAACTTTTATGACATCCTGGGCTTCAAGATTTTTGGCTTTCCTATTAAAGGCTTTTGGTCAGGAATATAAATGGCTATTTCTCCTCTCCAAGAGCATCCCTGTAAAGGTTGTTACCTCCATTAAGCTACCCAGTCACAAGAGGACCTTATTTTGGATCAGCCCACTTGGATGTGGGAGTTGGGAGGCAGCATTGGATGTTGGGGAGGAGAGAGTGAAGAAAGGGAGAGAAGGGTGGGCGGAGCCCCAGGAAGGTAGCTTGGTTTTATAACTGTGACTTCCGGGATTCAGTAAAGCTGCATTGAATGGTGATGATGAGTAAGTGTGGTTCAGGCTCCGCTGGAATGCTTTGCTGTTCTCCCAGTCCTCAATCTCCACAGATAAACACAACACACACATGCAGTCGCACACAGATCCACAGACACAGAGACTCACACAGACAGCAAAGAGAAAGACACGGAGAAACAGACACACTCTGCCAAAAGCCAAGAGCGCTAGTGTCATTTTAAACTAATATGTCAAAAGGAAAATCCAGGGCTCAGTAGCAGCTTTGATTTTGGGGACCTGAAATCACCCCAAGCTGCTATTGAGAAAGATTCCCTTCCACTCTCAGTGACAAGCTGATCTGCCCCCTTAATGATGTAAAGCCACG